GATGGCATAGAAGATGGTTCCGTCTCGCAATCATTAGAGTCGCTATCTGCAGAAAATAAAGGGAAGCCAACAATATCTGAATTTAAAGTACATAAATAAAGGTATTGAAATAAAAATAAATGGTAATCTTATTTACAAGGACGAAAGGCGCATGCAACAGGATTCAAAAAGTATTATCCCCTCAGATAGATATAACAGCGATAGTGACTAAAGGAAAGCATAGATAGAAATACGTCAACAAAAAAAGAAAATTATCCAATCTTATTTCAAACATAAGAAAAAGACTTACAAATTAAATTTTTTCGCTCTCAAAATGAAAAATTATATAGTAGTTGTTTGACCTTGGTCTTCATATCTTCAAATATGAATATGAAGTATTAGTAGAGAAAAATGAAAGATGAAATCGCGTCACAAGGGTCAACAAAAATCCCTTAGATTCTCCTTCATTTAGATAAGAAATAACCCAGGAAGTACTAGTAAAAATAGTCAGATAATACAAAGAACGGTAATATAATCCAAGGGTAATAAAAAACTGCTAATGTTAGCCTTATGAACTAATCTAATACCTAAGATAGACCGGGATAAAAATAATGCGACCAAACACGAGATAAATATCCAAGTATTATAAAAATAAAATGCATGTATGTCCTAGAGAATCGAAGACAGAGGCATAAATTAAATTAAGAAAAATAGACATGTCCTTACATTAATATCTGAAAATTTCTTATGACAGATGAACTTTGAAAGGTAAATTTTAAAAAGCCTTAACAGATAAGAAAATAATCGATTTGATTGGATCGATCCATTAATCGAAAAAAATAAAGCAGAATAAAGGCTGCGATAATTTTCACGCGTTCGTGAGAAGGTAAGGCCTTAAGTGGCAGCAAATCTGATACACGAATAGTAATGGGCGTTATCCTCCATGTTATACAATGAGTAAGCTTTCAAAATATCATGATCACTTGAATATGAACTTTAATCGTATACGACCGTTTAGGGTGATGCAGGGACCGATGTTGAATTTTCAACAAAAGATGGATCGATGGCACTGGGTTACCATTGCATTTCCCTTAGTCTCGTTCCCTCAATGACCTCGACGACCGCGTCCTCAACCATCACTTAGGACTCAGTATCAACTCCTAGAGGACTCGAAATTGGGTAATGTGAGCTAAGCCAAAACTCCGCCACAACGCTATGAGAGCTAATTAGTTACCAAGACATGACAAGTCAAGCCTTTCAACTTCACATTTGTAATTGTACTAGTGTCAGTAGGGTAAATTTGTTTTTGTAGTTATAATCTCCGAACAAGGTAGACAACACACCAAAAGCAGGGTTGCTGCCCTGCAGATCAAGAGGAACGTCAGGTTGGAGTGACCTGAAAATACAGAAGGCGCGTGCAGATGCACTGAGCTGGCGGCCAGCAAGAAGCACCGTCATCCGAAGAAGGTGGAACAGTTGGCGGTTATCACGACACCGAAGTGCAAATATTGAAGAATTACAAGGGATGTTGGAATAACTAGAGCAGTGAGAGGAAGAGACGTTGAGTAGAGGCGATGTTGCAGCTGGTATCACCATT